TACATTATTTGTTTTCTGTAAAGATTTAATAAACAGTACGCACTTGTTTGACTACGGAAAAAAAAAAAAAAAAAAAATAATTATATATGTTAAATTTTATATACTTTTTATAGTTATTATTATTTAAAAATTTTTTAAATATTATTGTATAATATTCAACTATATATATTATATTTTTAAAAAATAAAAAATAAAATAAAATAAATTTATAATAAATATATTAATTATTTATTATAATTTTAAATTTTAAATTTTAAAAAATTAATTTAAAAAAATTAAATAAAAATAAAAATATTATATATATATACAGTATATTATAATTCAAAATTTTTTAACAATAAAGTTATTAAATATTAATATTAATGTATTTTGTATAACAATTTTAAAATATTTGACAAGCTTAAATTAAAAAATAATATATTTTAAAAATTTTATTTATTATAATTTATAAAAAATTTATATTATTTAAAAAAAATACTATTTTAATTATGATTAAAAAGAATTTTAATTTTTAATAAAAAAAATAGTTTAACTATTTAAAAATACAATTATATAATTATAACAATAAAAAATTATATTAAAACTTTTTATATAAGAAAAATCTAATATAAAAGAAAAAAAGTTATAAATATAAAGTTTTGTAATAATATTTTATAAAAATATTAATTAAAAATTATTAAATTGCTTTAAAAATATTATTTATTTTTAATATAATAATAATTTAAAACTTATAATATAAGCAAAATTATTAAAAAAATTTTTTTTAATTGAAAATTGACTTTTAATAAATCAAACTTAAATATTGTTAAAAGAAATATAAAAATATTATTATTTAAAATATATATATGTATATAAATATAAAAAAATTAATTATTAATTTATATTAATAAAGTCTTTAAATTTTTTATATTATTTTGATGTATGTAAAGATTTTTGCAATTTAAATATTTTATTTTTATTAAAATAATAAATATGCAATTATATTTTTTTAAAAGAAATACAATTGATTTTAAACTTTTATATCAGATAAATATTAATTTTATTTTCAATCACAAGATTAATCTTTTATTTTAAAATTTAAAAAAAAAATTACAAAATAATTATTAAAATAATTACTGTTTGTTTTAGTGATTAAAAAACTAATATTGTTAAGAAAAATATATACGTAAATGTTATTATCATAAAGACATAAAACCTTTTTAAAAATATATATATTTTTAAATAAACTAAATTAAAAAAATGATGTTATGATATTATATGCAATTATATTAAAAACTTACGTTTTATTTATTTATTTTTTTCAGATAATTATTAATATATCAAATTAATTTCTAATTCTATCTGTATGATCCAGGTTAATTGAGGTGGTTAAATCACTATATCGGAATTGAATTATGAATTAATGATATCATTAATTAAAATTGGTTGATTAGCTTGATATCGGATATTACATGTTACTACTCCTTTTTTATTTTACTTCAAATACCAAAAAAGGAAACAGGTATGAGCTTTATAGAACACAGGCCTCGATCTAAGAAGTTAGGATTCCATAAGTACGATGGTTAATATAAGGTCCGATCTTTATAGGTTTGGTAAATTTTTTAATTTATTTCATTTTGTGCACAGTGATAACCGATTGTTTGTAAGCATATCTATATGCGTGCGTACCACATTCATACAGATTAATTAGATTTATGCCGCACATTCTTTTTTTTCGCATTTTCAAAAAATAATTTATATAATCAAGACCCTTGAGTCTTGGATCATTATTGAAATGAATCAAATCTGGCCCAAGTTAAAAAGACTTGAGAATTCACCGTCCGTAATTCGACATAGAAGATACGGTTTGTGCCCATCATGTAATAGGTCAAATACCCATGAGAATTGGTGTCAAAAATGCAACGCAGAGACTTTTCGTAAGAATTTTAATAATTGGACAAGCGGCAATCTAGAAATTGACAAATTCATTAGAGATTCACAATTAAGAGCAAGTAATAATAGGGAAGTGTTGGAATGGATTCCGTTTAATAAATTTAGAAGTTTAAAGTTCGTTGCGAGGGGGGGTTATGCAAGTGTCTATTTTGCGGTTTGGACCGATGGATTTATTAAGAAGTGGAATTATCAGAATGGTCAATGGGAAAGAAGGAGTAAATGGAAGGTGGCTTTAAAGTTCATGGACTGTTCCAACAAAATAACCTCAGAATTTCTCGACGAGGTGAGAAAATCTGTCATACAGTATTTATAGATTCATCGGGGCAGGTTTTAATTTTCAATTTTTACACCGGCAGATAGAGGCGTGCATCCGATGCGGCGGAGGGCACGGTTTAGTCCGCTGCTATGGAATATCGCAAGACCCAGAGACGAAAAACTACATAATTGTCTTGTATTACGCACATCAAGGGAATCTAAGAAGTTACCTGGATCAACACTATGGCGAACTTAATTGGATAAAAAGACTTGGAATTCTTAAGCAAATATCCGAAGGGCTCAAAAGAATTCATCAAGCGGGATTTGTTCACAGAGATTTTCATAGTGGGAACATTTTACAAGGAAATGCTTCGGAGATAGCGGATTTAGGTTTCAGTGGACCGGCAAGTAAGATGCGTTCGAAGTCTAAAGAAGTTTACGGTGTATTACCTTACGTGGCGCCAGAAGTGTTGCGCAGACGAAGTTACACATTTGCGGCGGATATATATAGTTTCGGTATGATAATGTGGGATGTGTTGACTTGTCAGCCTCCATTTGGTGATCGTGCGCATGACGTTCATCTCGCACTAGACATATGTCTCGGAAGACGACCAACAGTCGAAGAGGAAACGCCCAAACCATTTGCAAAATTAATGAAATGTTGTTGGGATGCCAATCCTTCGAAACGACCTACCGCCCAACAGCTGTACGAAACACTTCATCAATGGTACTGGGATTTGCATGATGGAAAGGTTACACCGGTCAGTGCGGCATTTATGGCAGCGGATAGTACCATGCCTCAACCGGGTACACCAGCCTCTAGTCGACCAGTTACTCAAACACATCCCCTCGCGATATACACGAGTCGATTGCTTGACTTTCCTGATCTTCCCGAACCTGTTAATGCTCTATCATCATTTCATTGTAGTCATCATTCACATACAACAAACAGCAGCAAAAGTGGGTTATTTACTAGGATTTCTGGTTTGATTCATGTATTCCTCATTCACTGACAAATCCAATATTACCATCGATTTATAAGGTTCTAATGACGAGAAAGATGATAAAGAATCTAGTGGTAAGGTGCAATCGATTTGCCTATCAGTATCAAACAATAGTCATCTGATAAATTGATTTCAATGAAACAGATTATGTCACGAGACAATACGATGATGAACTTGTGTTAGGTATTTACGGTTTCATCTTTCTTATTAGCAAAAAGATAACAGCATTGTAAAACTTTAGTGCATTACGGCTTTTCTTTAACAGAGCCGGAAGTTGTGAGTAGTAAAATAGAAGTCACACTGGTGTCGTCAGAAGAAGGTACCATTGTAATTGTTAAATTCTTGTTATATAATGAGCACGAGGAACAGTTTATTAAATTGCTCATTTTTGCAGTTACATTTCAACCCGAGGATGATGAGATAACGAGAAAACTTGAAATATTGGCAATAAACTGATGTCATTGATTTAAACGTGTTGTCTCAGTTAGAATGCGACGGTGATTAAACGTGTTGTCTAAGTTAGAATGCGACGGTGATTGAACTTGCGGAAGGCCTCAATCGGAATGTTCGAGAAAGGGAATTCACATTCATTAGTGATTGGTTATATTCAATTTGTCATATCATGTTTCGCAAAATCCTATATACCTTAAGGTTACAGAGGAGGATTTTTTTGATATGGTTTTTCGGTTTGTAGCATGATAAATTGGCTTACGAATCACAGATTCAAAATCGTGAAATGAAAAAATTTCGGGAGCTTAGAATTACAACAACATTTCACAATAAATGATAAATTAAACATTCCTAGCAAACTACTCTTTTCAGTGATGTTACATCATAATTATTCTTCCGAAAACTGTTTCTTAAAGTATTATTCACCACTATTATCGTTTCCACCGCGCTGCATCTCCAAAAATGGATTACAAAATTGATGGGCACGGCACCATCGTTCTTGATGATGTGAGTAGACCTTTCACATAAATATTTGCCGCACTTAAATAACACATGGCAACTAATTTTAACAGGATGAAGAGCTAAAGGTGGCTGAACGCGTCCCAGTCAAAGAAGAATTTGAAATCAAGGTCAGTGATCAAAGGCAATAATATGTCAACCTTGTTATAGCTCATTTTTAGTATTCCATTTTTGTGATCTACTATCCAGGCTATCAAACGAGAGCTCAAGTGTATCGAAATCAAAGTAGCTGTTGATATCTCGTTCTCGATGTTTGACGCAGGCTTCAACGGTCTGATCTTTCTAAACATCATTTTTTAAAATAAAAAAAAAGGACGAGGATGATAACCGCAAATTCTTACGTTCAACCACCGCGCGTTCAATTGCTCCCCGTCGCAATCGCGCACCCGTTCCTTACATGAACACTCAAGATTGGACAGAGGCCGAAGATCATGCGTTATTAAGCGGAATTCAAACTCACGGGGGAAAATGGTCGATAATTTGTCGCGAAATCGATACTGGGAGAACTCCAATTCAGTGTTTTAGAAGGTGGAATAAGATGGTTCGATGTATTCAAAGGAGAGTCGCTATTCGATAATTTTAATTTCACTACTGTAGTGCACGGAGAAGATTCATTAACCGAAACGAATGGGTTAGAATAATGCAAATAATATTTTTTTCATTACAAATATCGTTGACGGAATACACTTAAGATTTCAGTTGCAACGTTTTTTTTTTCTTTTTAATTTATTCGTGATAAATTTCAAGTGCATTGTTATTTGATGACTAAATTTACAAATGAATTTAATAATAAAACAAGATCCCATTTTAAGGACTTAATAAATGGGTTCTCTCGTTGACCGAATCTCGATGACGAGAGCAACATAAGGCAATGCCTTCTCTCAAGATACTTCCTAATATAAGACCGGTCGATATCGAGGCGGAAACGAGAACTGGCAAAGTTTCGTGTTGCCTAACTGCGATGCCAACGAGAGACCATGCAAGCGTGGTGGCGAACACGATGTCGTGCTTGAAGTCGACAAAACACAAACCAACGAGACCGATAACTATGATAATAATTGCAGAAAAGAGCTCGGTATCCAAGGCACTAACTGCAACCCATACATTTAAGATGGTTGCTATCAAGATCCACGCTGGATAAATTGTAAAAGGATAATGAATAAAGAGGCGATCAGCGAGATTCTGTGGTGGATAAAAGGAAAGGTTCCGGTAGATCAGAAATAACACCGCGAGGAGAGCTGCGATGACGAACGTATCTATCAAAGGATAACCATTTTCCTAATTTTTTTAAAAAGAAAAGTCGATTAATGACTGTCTGCACATGAGAAACAATGTAAGAATGATGGACGAAGCTTTTGAAAAGGTACCCAAATAATTAACCACGTCGCATTGAGAACATTGACGACAACATGATAATATCGAATTCCATCAACAGTCACGTCGTTAGCGGGTTCGAACCATTGATAGATGACGAAACCTACAAGCAGGGTATTAATAAGTCCCCAGATCCCAAAAGTGTAACCAGCAGGCAAAATGTGGGTAGACGGATAAGTTTTATTATTATGAATGCTGGTAGTTATGTTTCCTTCGGAATGCTTTTTGTGTTCGGAAGAGAAGTAAACATTGATAGATAATGCCAAAATGAGTGCAGCTACATTCGCTGCCTTGAGAAGGATGTGATAACGGGACATTGTCACTCAATTGTAGGTTTGAGTTCGTAAATTTCCTGTTTATTATAAAGGTACCCCTTAGGTTAAATAAGCGGTAACCAGTAAACGCCATCCAATATGTATTGATTATACTGATCATTTGATCAGACTCATTATGCAATGACTGAACGTTAGTGTCATTTTTTTTTAGCCCTCGCACGTGTGCCAGCTAAATTTTTATTAACTGTCTTTAAAGCATCGGGGAAAAATCATCTCCGTTGATTATCAGACTTGTTCTCATCAAGCATTGCTGTAATAAATATTTCTCTTGTAATACGGAATACCGCGTACTGAAACAATGCAGTGAACTTAACGTCATTCTATCTGCCTTAAAAGTACTAGCTCGCAAATTAAACACCAATTATTTTTTCCTAATTTCCTTGTACACAGGCGTTTCCCTCAAGAAATATTTTCGCGTTCTCTAATGTATTTGGAAAACAAGACAACGTAACTAATGTTTCGGATCTGCGTATGACATAATTCTATGGGAATGTTGCATCATGTCGTTTTAGGAATGTGATTACGGAATCATGTATTAAATTAAATACCTTAATTCTTTATTATTGAGGAAGATCCATCTTATCGCTTCACTTTATTATATCTTGATCGATTTCTATTTCTTATATGCGCGTGTTGCGTGACAATGATCGGCGCGAAATAAAATAAGCTATATTTGTGTTCCGCCGAGGGCTAATTCTTGTTCAGCAGCATGTCGATCGAAAGTCCCCACTGTGTGCACGGTACGCTTTCTCGTTGCGCGAAGAAAATTTCGATCGGCTCGGGTTGTGACAAATTTATCCATAGGAGGTTTATGCACGTCTATCAAAAGTTCCTATTTCTCACCCGCAAAGAAATTTGTGTGCGCAAAAGGGCGGCTAAGTAATTTATACAACGTTACGTCTTGTATATTAACGTCACACGAACGACGAACATTTGAATGGGGAGCGAAGAAAAATTATGATCGACAAATAATAATAGGACATATTTGAATCACAATCTTTCATTCAATCCTTTTGGGTTAAATTACTTTTTTTCTCAGCCATGATTCCTGTGTTGGAAATTCAAATCAGTTATGTCAACAATCATGGGCTAAGTAACATTTTTGTTTATCACAAATATATCATTCAGCCAATATAAAAGGGTTCGAATCCCAGCATCCTGATTTGAAAAATTACGAGGACCCATATTTTGCAAATAAGCGATTGATTGTATATAATATATTTCTTTGTAGATACATTTGCATTTAACGTAAATTTGTCAACATGACCCATCCACTTCTTATAAAAATTGTTAACGTGTTGTCCTTTGTTTTTCTCCTGGGACTTAACACCTACTCGGGCTTCTTTGTGAGTATCAATTTTTATTACATGTTGGAAAAAGAAACTCGTTTTTTTTAGGTTTATTTCTAATTTCTGCAAACCCTTTAATAATAAATAGGATGACTCGTCCCCCTATCATGACAATCACGCAACTTACATTACCCCGGCAGTGTTCGTTTATTATATTTGGGTTCTCATCCATTTCTTATTATTAGGTTTTGGTAAGTTACCGATTTCGCCATACATTTTCTCCCGCAAAATAAAATTTCGAATCTTTTAATTCACCATCTAAACTTACTTTTTTTCCTTCTTTCCCGCTTTCTAGTCATTTATCAATTCTTCCCTGTTGCCAACGAAGTGGTGGTTGATGGGATTCACTGGCACTTCCTTAGTCTCGGTTTGTTTAATGGAGTTTGGGTGTGGTTATATTCCACCGACCATACTATCCTCGCATTGATTCCTCTCCTCTTGGTCTCCACGCAAGTATCCTACGTCTACTTCACCCTCAAGAACAGATATCCGGCTGCGACCTTTGGAGAAACTGTTTGGATTCACGCTCCATTCTCCCTTTACCACGGATGGATATTTGTGCTCACTGTTATTGGCGTATTCGTTGCCTTCAGTCCTGAAAAGACTGATGAACCACCAAGCGTGCTTACCAAGATATTCGTTGTCATTGGTTTGTTGTTCCTCGAACTCACTGCTACCTCATACATTGAGAAGTTCGAAGGAGATATTGCTGGCGCCATAGTTATCGCGTGGTCACTTTACGGAGTTGCAGCTGAACAACAAGATCCGGTCATCCACTGGGCCGCCATCATCTTTGCCGTGTTCACCACCATTCATATCATCAAACCACTCTTCAAGAAATACGTTCTCAAAACACGAGAAGAGCAAACCCCATTGGTCAGGGGTCAAGTATGATCCTGTGGGCCAGGTTAGGTCGCGGGCCGGTCAAATGCATTTTATCTAGTTCAGATTTGTACTCTTCATAAATGATATTCAAAATACAACGACTTTGAAAATGACATTCCGTAATAAATATACTTATCAGAATGATTGAGCATATTAGCATCTTGATAAACAGCGATAGCCGAAATTTTGGTTCTAATAAAAAATATACATACTGTATATCGAGCGAATTTTGGTTTATAAATGAATAAAAAAATTTTTGTCAATCTTAAACCCTTATCTAGAAATAAAAATTTTTCAAAAATGGCGCTGGTTGCATATTACTGCAGATCACAAAATGTTATATTGTATCAATTCGTTATTATTATTATTTTTTATATAATACAATAATATATTGCATATATTATTTTGATTATAAATTATAATAAATCAATGGTTTTATAAGTTATTAGATGGCAAAATCTTTTATAAAAGCCTTCAAACATTTGAAATTTTAAAAAATATTATTATCAACTTTTTTTTTTTTTTAATTTTTAAAATTATAAGATTATAATATCAGTTTGAATACAAGCTAGCTATAATATTTCAAGATTAATAGTATAATAAAAAAAAATAATATGAATCTATTTTTTAATAATAAAATAGTTAGTAAATAATTAAATTATATAAGTAATATGATAATTTTTATATTAATAAAGATTTTATTATAAGAAAATAATTTAGTATTAATATAATATTTATATTTTATTAAAAAAAAAAAAAACTTTTTTCTATATACAACTTTTTTTAAAAAAAAATTTTTTATAATGATTTTTTTTTTAAAATTAAAAAAACAAATATTTTTTTTGCTTTTTAATATTTACACTTTTTCTTTCTTCATTATAAAAGTCACAAAAAAATTAAAAAAAGTATACTAATATATTAAAATGAAATCTCTGATTAAAAAAAACCAAATTTGAAAGTTTTGTTTTGTTAAAAAATTATATAAGAAAAGACCTATGGCAATTACTTTTTTATAAATTTTTTTGAGGATTTTTCTTACTTTTTTTTCTTTTTAATATATAAATCTTTTTAAATAATTATATTTTTTGCTTAAAAAAATTTTTTTAAATCCAAAAAATCAAACTTCACATCAAAATTATCTATATTGTTAACTTAAAAGATTAATAATATAATTCAATATTTATTTTTTACTATTGCTTAATATATTTTACTGTGTTATCAAAAACTAAAAATTTTTACTTAAAAATTTTTTTATAAAAAAATTATAATTAGTTTACTCTTATTAATTAATTGATATTCCAAATTCAATCAATCAAATATTATTAAATTTCAAAGCAATTTTATATAACCAAAACACTATATAATAACTGATATAAACAAATTCTATTTTAACAATATTAATCAAAACAAAATCACATTACAAAAAAATAAATTAATTAATATATTAACAAAAATATTAATAACTATAGCAATAAAATATAATCTAAATAATATATCAATAATACTATTATTTACTTTGAACAATAGCTTAATTATTTTTGAAAATAATATTCTACATTAATTAAATAAATTAATTAGTATAACATATCTAATTCAAGATATCATTTGTGTAATAATCAATCTTTTTTATACTTTTTTTCTAATTATTATTAAATATTCAATATAAATAATCATATTACTACTATTATTAACAATGACTTAAAAAATAACTATTAAAAAAATATATTATTAATATTATTATATATCTTAAGCTATAGTTTAACTATTTCAAAAAGTTCTATTGTATTTCAAAAAGATAAAATTATCAGAGTAATATTAAATATTATTTGTATTATAATTAGTTTTTTTATTATTTTTTTTTGTTTAGCATTTTTTTTTTCACTTCTATATTTTTTTAATTTTTATTTCATATAATCTTAAGTATTTATAGCTGTTCAGTATTATTTTAAATATATATTGGTTTTAATATTTACTTTTTATTGTTTAAATAATTTCTATAGGCAAGCTAATATTAAACTTACTAATTAATTGATCATATAAAAGATATTATTACTTTTTATATATAAAATAATTTAAATTTTTTATAATAATAAAAAGATAATATTTATCTACTTAAATATACAAAAGGTACTCAAAAGTTATTGGACAAACTTTAAAAATTTATATCTAGCTATATATATAGAATTAAAAAATTTTATTTTATTTTATTTTTTTTTTGAATGTTAAATGTTTTATTAAAAAAAAAAATTTTTTTTATGCAGTAGTTATTTAAATATTAAAGTTTTTAAAAAAATTGAATATTTTTGCCAAACTGAAAAGTATTTTTGATTTTTTGATTTTTTTTAAATTAAATTATTTATTTATATTAACTTATTTGTCACATAAATAATACATCATTTTATATAAATAACTTTATTACATAAATAATAAACTCACAAAACAAGAATTCAACAAAAACTACCAAATTAGGAAACAAAAATTTTCTCACAAAATAAAAATTCTAAAGACCCTGGAAGGTCTTCTACATCCTCCAAGGATCAAGCAAATGAACCTTTACATGTTCTTCTTGATGTCCTAATCACTGATATAAACAAATACCTTGCAGTTATTATTCACAAAAATGGCAACACCAACATTATCTATACCATCCATCCAGTTTCCACCACCAGACTTCCCAAACTTACAAATCCTCCAAAAGTATGGCTTACACCAGTTTGAGTTCAGGAAAACAACCAAGAAACCTATAAAGTTATTTCAGTATCTTTCGAAATCTGGAAAAAAAGATTGGAAAACCATTACACTGAAGTCAAAGTAACACTTCCAGACCTAATGCCCTTGGATGATCTAAACACTTTCTTCAACTATCAACATGCATTCTTACTCTCAGACGAAGACCGAACAAGTATTCTGAAGGAAATGATGAAGCAAAAACTTTATTATGATCTAGACATCTCCTGGGACAAACTTAACATTGACATCGATGAACTAGCAAAAACTTTTATCTTGGAACAAAAAACCGAAACACTCATACCCCCTCCAAACACTCCAGCGCTTACTGGGGAAAAGATCAATGACAATACCATGCAGCTTGATTGTATGGACGAAACACAACATGCAACCCCCCTAAACACGATGACAATCATGCCAGCCCTCATGCATATGCAACCGATAACCAACTAATTCTGCATGAAACCACAAACAACAACACCTATACCCAAACAACTGCACGCACAGTTCAACTGCCTACTACAAGTATGGAAATTGATAACCATTCTTCCCCTAGCCAATCAATCGCAACTGTAAAATCACTCCCAAATTCATAGGCTGATGAAACCAATCAGATGCTTGAATCAATCCAGGAAAGTTCCCATCAATCTACAGTAGACATTACAGAAAACATACCTCCTTCTGGACAAGAGAAACTAATTGAACTATGTGAGGAGCTCAACCAATGTGAACATTCTGCCAAATCCATTGTGAGCTTTTTTCTAAAAATCAGAAGTGAACCCATGAGCCAACCAAAAACATCTCTCAAAGGAATATTCGCAAAAATCAAATACCGGGATTGCAATTTCCTCAGAACTTTTGCAAAAGATAAAATAATCAAAGAACAACATCAAACAGAATATGAAAAGATTGAGAAGGAATTTCACACAAATTATCTAAAGTCAAATAACATAGGATACATCTCAAGGGCCACAAGGAAAAAGATCAGAGCAATAATCAACAAAGCACTATTCGTCACATATCTCAAATCTACTGACCTGTCTTTTCTCAAATTCTGGCAAGTCGCCCAATTGCTGAAGTATGGACTAAACTTTTTTATCAACCCCACTCTTTCAAAAGTCGACTATCACGAGATCTACAGTGTGAGTCAAAATTATTGGAAAATCACTGCGGCGAGATCTGTATAAATTAAACTAACCAAACTCAGACAGGA